GAGATAATACTTGTGAACCTAACTGAAGTCTTGGAATTTATTTGTTTATTTTTCTCTTTTTTTCTTTCTTTTTTTTATGTGTTTATCGTGTTCAAGATGATAATAATTTTTGTTTTTTTTTTTTTTTTGCACCGGCGGCTTTGCAAGAAATGCCGTTGTAAAGGGGGGGGGGTCTGCTTAGCGTCACACTTGGTTACAAGACGGGGGGGGGGGTGATGCAACGCACAAATAACTTTATTGCTGTTTTCTGGAAGATTGCATACACACATCTACGCACACATGCACACGCACGCACGGATGCACACACGCACGTAAACACACACTCATACGCACACACACACTCACACACACACACACACTCATACACGCACACACACACACACAACACACACACACACACACACACACACACACACACACACACCACACACACACACACACACACACACACAACACACACACTCACACACACACACAACACACCACACACACACACACACACACACACACACATATCACACTAAACCCAACGGAACAGGTTGTTGACCATACCAAACCGAGAACAAAACAAAACAAAACAAAACAAACAAAAAAATAATTAAGTCTCCCCCCCTAATAAAAAAGAGAAAAAGACGACAAAAACGACAAAAGACGACAAAAAACGAGGGATGGCGGACAGAGTGTGAACACCTGGTCTCGAGTCCCGTTGTCGAGACCAGCTGGAGGGTGGGTGCGAGGCAGTCACTGCGCCGCTGATGCCATCGCAGGCGCGCGGTGAAATCTGAGGAGGGGGTGAGGAAGGGGGGATTTTTTGGAGTTAGGGGAAGGGGGGTTGGAGTTGGGGGGGGATGGGGGAGGAAGGGGGGGTTTTGGGAGTTAGGAGAATGGGGGTTGAGATAAGGAGGAGGGGATTTTGGGAGTTAGGGAAGGGGGGGTTGGAGGTTGGGGGGGGATATAAGGGGGGTGAGATTGGGGGATAAGAAGGTTGAGATAGGGGGGAAGGGGGTTTGGAGTTGGGGAAGGGGGGTTCTTGGAGGTTGGGGCGATGAGGGGGGTTGAGATAGGGGGGAAGGGGGGGTTTTGGAGGTTGGGGGTTGAGATAGGGGAGGGGCTGAGGGGGGATATAGGGGTTGAGATAGGGGGAAGTTGAGGGGGATGAGTTAGGGGAGGGGGTTTTTAAGGGAGTTTGGGGGGAGGGGGGGGGGATAAGGGGGTAAATGGGGAGTTGAAAATAGGGGGAGGGGTTTTGGAGAGGGGGGAAAGGGTGTTTTTGGTGTTTAGAAAGGGCTGTGTTTTTGGTGTTAGGGGGAGGGGGTTGGTGGTTAATAAAAGGGGATTTCGAGGAAGGGTTTGGTGGGATTTCGAAGCAACAGGATGAGAAGGTTTTTGAGACTGGGGGGAGGGGAGAGTGAGAGAGAGAGGGAGAGGGGGGGTGTAGGGTAAGAGAGGGCCTATTTTGAGGATGGGTAGGTAGGGATTTTCGACGCGGGGGGGGGGTGGGGGTGGTGGGTATGATATTCAGGGAGACTGGAGGAGGGGAGGGGGAGAGGTTCCGATGTAGGTGGAGAGGGGGGGGGAGGGAAATTCGGGAGGTGGGAGTGGGGGGTTGGGAGATTTCGAGAACCGGGATGTGGGTGCGAGTAAGTAGAGTAAGGAGGGGGGGGAGTGGGGTGCTTGAGGACATGGAGGGTGGGAGCGTCTTCTGGAGGGGGAGTAGAGGGAGTATGGAGGGGGGGGGGGTTGGAGGGAGAGGGAGATGAGAGAGAGCGTACGGAAAGGGAAGAGAGAGAGAGAGAGAGAGAGTACGGAAAGGGAGAGAGAGAGAGAGAAGAGAGAAGAGAGAGAGAGAGAGAGAGAGAGAGAGAGAGAGAGGAGATAGATAGAGAGAGATAAGATAGACAAATGCATAGACGATACATACCGCAGGTAAATAAAGGAGACAGGATTACACAAGCATTGAACCATTCTGTAGGATCAGAAATACTTAAACAAAAAAATAAGAAAACCAAACAAACAAACAAATCAAGACCAAGAAAGCAACGCATTCAAACGAAACATTCAGAGAACAAAGATCAAGGAAAGAAAAGAAAAAAAAAAACAATGCAACATTAACCGAACCTTATGAGCATCTACGGGAACCGGAAGTGAAATCATTAGGCAAGGAACTGAGACAATAGAAAGCGTGTTTGCTTCAAACCTCGTTAAAAAAAAAAAGAAAAGAAAAAGAGAGAGAGAGAGAAAAAAAAAACCCCGCGTCATAGCGTTAGTTCCGTAAAGATTCGTTCGATTTTCGATCTAATTGCGCCCCTAAATAAGAGTCGATTTCCCGCGAAAACGCACGCCGGGGAGGTAGGGGGATGGGGTGGGGTGGCGGGGTAAGGAAAGTTTAAACGGTTCGACGGTTATTTGTCAGAATCCAATTTGTTGCGAATGAGACTCGAGTGGTTCATAACTGGGTGGTTTCGTTCGGTCGTTTGTGTCGTTCGCTGGCCAGTCGCCGGCGGGAAGTAACGAACGTGTTGAAATGTAATCGTATTATGGGCGGACATCGACGCCCGCGAATTTGCCGGAGGTTGGGAACAGGTGGCGGCTTTCCGCCTCTCTCCGCCGACCGCCACATCTCCACCCTTTGGTTATATATATGTATATATATATATATATATATATATATATAATATATATAAATATGTGTATATATGTATATATGCATGTTATATATATATATATTATTATATATATATATATATATATATATATGTAACAATATATTATATATATACTATAATATATAATATATATAATATATATATATGTGTGTGTGTGTGTGTGTGTTGTGTGTGTGTGTGTGGTGTGTGTGTGTGTGTGTGTGTGTGTGTGTGTGAGAGAATGGAAAAAAACACTTATCATGTTGATACTTATGGCAGAAAAACCCACAATGCAGACTAATTATTGACGGAAGTGAGACTTACTTCAATGAGTGTGTGTGTGTGTATATGTATATATACTATATATATATATATATATATATATATATATATTTATATAATATATTATATATATAATATAATATATATATTAATATATTTATATTTAAATCATATAGCGCGCGCGGCTAAATAATATATATATGTATATACATATTTATTTATATATCTTACGTAACTACAGTATATCTGTATATATTACGATGTGTACAGAACCCGCACAAACCGCCCCCAAGGCCGACCCATTTCCTGAACTCGCCGACTAACCGAGTCTCACACTCGGCGTCCTCCTCCAGCTCAGCCTTGATCCTCAGCCCATGATCTCACGCGCTGATCCGTGCGGGTTTCCTGTCGCCATGCGCCGGCCGGGTATTGGGTTAACCGCGCTCATTAGCCATTGGGGAGCCTTGGGTCGGCTTTTGGAGTTCCTTTTTTTTTGTATTTCGATTTTGTGTTGTTGGTCTGTTGTGTGTATCTTTTTCCTTTTTTTATGGCGTGTTTGTATATTCTTAAGTCTTACGTACATGTTATTAGGTGTGTATCGACTTGGATATACATACGGGTGTAATGGAACCGGAAGCAAATACGCCACCGATTAATCTAATGACCCAGCCACAAAATCAGAAGAAAAAAGGAGAGGGAGGAGGAGAAAAAGGAAAGAGAGAGTGAAGAAAAAATATTTCGAGCTTCAAATAAGTTGGAAACGGGAGGGAGTTGTTATTGGAGAGTCTAAAGGTCTCTCTCTCTCTCTCTCTCTCTCTCTCTCTCTCTCTCTCATCTCTCGTTCTCCTCTCTCTCTCTCTCTCTTCCTCTCCTTCTCTCCTCTCCCTCTCCCTCTTCCCTCTCCCTCTCTCCCTCTCCCCTCTCCCCTCTCTCCTCCCTCCCCCTCTCCCTCCTCTCCCTCCTCTCCTCTCTCTCCCCTCCCTCCCCTCCCTCTCTCCCTCCCCTCTTCTGCCCCTTCTCCTCCTCTGCCTCTGCTCTCTTCTCTCTCTCATCTCTCTCTCTCTCTCTCTCTCTCGTCTCTCTCTCTCTCTCATCTCTCTCTCTCTATCTCTCTGTAGAGTGAGTGAATGGATGAATGCGAGAGAGAGAGAGAGAGAGCTAGGTAGATAGAGAGAGGATGCTACAGTAAAGTCGGAGGCTGCGAAGAAGACAGAATGAGGCGGCCGAAGAGCCAAGATGACAGATGACCGTCATTTCTCACAGCAAGCGGGTCCTCGGACTTCGTAAATGGCAGACTCGTTGTGCTAAAACAAGCACCTAACTCCAGCTTAGGAGTGATGGAAATATTTTGCTGCTGTTCTGTGTTGATTTGTGTTATTTTTTGCACTATTTCTGAAGGCCCTTTCTTTCAAGGAGGGTTTGGTTTGTTGGTTTGTTCAAAATCCGATGTGATCCTAATTGTTTGTGTGCTGGCAGTGTTGTCTTTAGGATAATACGTATGTTATTTATCCGTGTGTATTTATCTATGCATACAGGTTTAGCATGAATAAATACAGGTTTAGCATAGTTTAGCATAAATAAATACAGGTTTAGCATAAATAAATACAGGTTTAGCATAAGTAGATACAGGTTTAGCATAGATAAATACGAACATACTCTTCCCACTTATTTGTAGAGGCCGTCCCAGTTGAAGGACAAAGAGAACTCCCGTGCAGTACCTTCTGTCGCACCTTCACATGGGAACCGCCGTTCTGTTCATGGCTTCCCCAACGAGGCGAGCCCTCCTAACCTCTCCTCTCTATCCCTCCCCGCCCAGCACCCTCCGACCCCCCCCCCCCTTTGGGCCCCCTCTAACCCCTTCCCTTCCGCCCGCAGTGAAGGCCGATGTGCACAGCGGCGACGACTCCGCCTCCGTCAGCAGCGGCGACCACGACCACCACTACGAGGACATCGATCCGGCCCTCGTGGCGAGTCGGGCGGCGGCGCGGGAGTCGTCGGGGCGCGCGCGAGACCCCGCCTCCGCCTCGTCTCCTTCCCGCCGCTCCTCCTCCTCCTCCCGCACGAGCCCGAGGG